AGGAAAGGAGGGCGGCGACCGCACCCTCCTCGGGAGGTTTTCCAAGATGCTCACACTGCTATCGAAAAGCCTCTCTTTCTTTTGGCGAAAGGCCGACGGGGAGGTGGGAGAAGAAGCGGAGGCGCGTCGGGCCACCAGAGGTAGAAGAACCGAGTGGCTCCTTCCCTCCCCCTTGTTCTTTTCTATGGGGAAGGAGGGCTCTTTAGTGGGGAGTTTAGCTAGCCAATTCTCGGTTTGGATGAATGAGGTCGCTGAAATGGCAACACAGTCTTGGCCATCCCTTCTAGAAAGTGCCATTTGAGTATCTTAGCCGGACTTAATTCTCTAGAAACAGGACCAAAAATAGAAACCGAAGAGTTGGCCTTTTTGTTTAGCATTTTTAATGCATTTCCTGCCTTAATCACGTATTTCAAGTCTTTAGATTTTTATTTCACCGTAACACTGACAATGGCTATTTTTTCCATTGGCAAGTGGAATATACGTTCAAAAGTAAATGTAAAATAATCACTATATTTGTAGCCATCCCAAGAATAAAAGAATGAAATACGGAGCTCTATGTCTGGCATTTCAAATGATTTTTTTAAATTTTGCATAATTTGGGGAAAAAAATAAAAAGTTAAAATGCCAGTTTTTAATTTACCTAACAGTTCAATGCTACCTTGTTAAATGTAAGTTCAGATGTATTTTTTTATGTTTTTATGTATCTTAGCTGGAATTTCTGCTGGTCAGTGACCGTAATAAGGATCAAGCTACAGTACCTAGCTTGAATAGTTAATGATATCGTGGGTTGTCAGACAGAACTGACTTACAGCAACCGTAATAGACTTTCACGGAAAATGAGATATTTAGGGAATGGCTTTGCCAGTTCTACATCCCAAGTGAGCTTCTGTGGCTGAACAGCAGATTTGAACCAATGCCTTCTGAGCCCTAGGCCATCACTGTATGAAATATGCCACACTGGGTAACCTGAATACTTAGATGCAATATTAGGCCCATCTTTGCTAAGCTCTTCCACAAGAGGGGAAGACCTTTCTTTTCAGACAGACTTTTCCTTAGTGACTATCTAGGAGACAATAATAAACAAGATAATGTATAAAATTCCTTTTTTTTTTTTTTGCTTCTAAATATGTTTTTGTAATGCTTTTGTTTAACATTTTTAGTATGTTTTAATAATGTAAGCTGCCTAGGTCCTTAAGAGAGAGATGGGGTAAAATATTTTAAATAAAAAAAAATTAAGACACCCAAATAATGTTGTAGAAAAATGGAATGTAACATATTCCTGTTACGTAAATTAAAATTTGGTATTTTTCAATTTAAAAAAGTCATTCAGGCAGTCAGGTTTTGAATCCCACTCAGCCATGGAAGCCCACTCATGTAAGCTGCCTAGGTCCTTAAGAGAAAGATGGGGTAAAATATTTTAAATAAAAAAAAATTAAGACACCCAAATAATGTTGTAGAAAAATGGAATGTAACATATTCCTGTTACGTAAATTAAAATTTGGTATTTTTCAATTTAAAAAAGTCATTCAGGCAGTCAGGTTTTGAATCCCACTCAGCCATGGAAGCCCACTGGGAGTGTGGAAGTGATAAAGCAGGTGGATAGCTCTATCATGGCCATTGTAAGTTGGTTCTGACTTAATGACACATAAGAACATAAGTATTCAAACTAAGATACAAAATAATGCATTTGAATTTACATTTAATAGGATAGTATTATTAACCCATAAACTAAGTATCTAACATAAGGTATTGTTTGATTTAAATACATTTTTCAGAAGTCTAAAATAAAAATACAATACCCAAAGTAGATTATAAGTTTATGATGTTCTTTCTTTCCTTGATTCCTTATCACATATATAAATGTTCCAGTATACAAAACACTACAAGGTAGTTTCAGCTACTCACTGTTACTTTGTGTTTCCACTACCCTAATTTTTTACTTTTTTGCATAGCGGTTTCTAACCTAGCAGTGGTTAAGAAATTAATCAGTTATGTAGTGTATTTTGAAAGCATCAACCAGTCACAATTCAAATGCTAGTTGCTATATTAAATGACTACCACGGCTTGTACAGACAATGAGTATCACGAAAACGCTGTATAAATCAATATATTTCATTGAAAAAGCCAGTCATAGATGGTACCACTGTTTCCAGACTTTGTCAAATGACAGTATATCATCAGTGTCTTGAAAGTTTCATTACAACAGGGATATCTGAATTGGGATTGTGTTTGACTAGTTTGCTTGTTTGGTTGGAAGCTTCTTTGGTATATTCATGTGTTTGGGGAGGATCTTAACCTCTTAAAATGTATTATGATGCAGAAAGTAAATCTAACTTACTTGCAAATGTACAGTTATTGACACTGTCAGTTTCCAGAATCTCTTCATTTTAATGTGCACTCTTAGCAAACTTACACTTACCAGCTGCAATGTAAATGTGCATTAGATTTATCCTTCTTTTATGTTATGTTCACACTTTTTTATACATTACATACATTACACTTACCAGAGAAACCAAGCAGAGTAACCTTTTTTATTCCATCAAATGTGATGTTAAATGGCAATCGTGCATTAGATTTATCCTTTTATGTTATGTTCACACTTTTTTTACACATTACATACATTACACTTACCAGAGTAACCAAGCAGAGTAACCTTTTTTGTTCCATCAAATGTGATGTTAAATGGCAATCACATGTTAAAATGAGTATTTAGTCATGCTTAAAGTGAAGCTTCATCCACAGAGCCTCCTGTCCTTGTGGATTTCTTAAAAAACCTAAAATCCAAACCCACAATTGCAAGAAGAATCTTATGCATGATTACTCCAAAGTAAGTTCTGCTGTATTTATTGGTATTTGCTGCTAATTAAATATGGACAGGATTTCAGCCTTAAATAATACAATATTTGAGGGTTTAAAAATAATAATGTTGACTTTAAAATTCACCAATGGCAATTCCATAGATGTTAGTTTCTTGGTCAGATGGCATAGGATTATTTATAGGCTTTGATTCCACCTACTCGCCCCATTTTGAAGAAATACATAGGAGTTTTGAGATAGTAGTCTATGTTGCTTTCCATATCAGAGTGAAGAGTGATAAAGGAAAATAAATGTTCTGTGTTATAGAATACATGTTACAGAGTGTTTTTTGTTTGGAGTGGAGGGGTATGATGTTCATGTAGTAAATGCATTGTGGCTGAATTGATTACTGTACCAGTGTATATGCTTTTCATAAAAAATTAAATGTGGATAGGAAATAATGTAACAGTAAGGGTTCTGTCAGATGTCTGCAAAGGCATATGCTTGATCACACTGGAAAGGATTGCTTTAACAGCATGCTTGATCACACTGGAAAGGGTTGCTTTAACAGGAGCAATCTTCCTTAAAGCAACCCCTCAGTTAGGGAATGACTCCAGTTTAGGTCCCAAAAGTAGAAGCCCCACAGCTGAACCAGAAAGGTCCAACCTGAGTACGGATTGGGGTCAGCTGCATTGTGTGATCACGCAGACGCAGACTGCACCAAAAGCTGTCCAGGTTGTGATCTATTTCCCTGTGTGATCACACCCTTTGTTATGTTGTATGTTCAGAGCATAGATATGGTTAAAATGAAGTCAGCAAGACTCTACGAACTCTGGAACAGAGATAGTTAGATTTGGTTGTTCTTGGCTATTAAACCTACTTTCTAAGAACTGTTTTGAAATAGTACAGTAACTTAGCTTTTAACATTTTCTTGGGACGATTACTACTTCTTGCGTAATTGTGTTCACATTTTCTGTGAAGCTTCTTTGTCATGTGATGTTTACTGCTAGATGTTGGCAATCAGCAGATTTCCAAGAACTACACTTCTGTGAATTTTATAGCTTGGCTACTACATGGGCATACTTAATGTTTGAAGAGATTTGTTGCGCAGATTATGATTATGAACTGAGACAAGCTGGAGCTGAACTCATTATTACAGTTTTGAAAAGTATCCTCAGTTTAAATCCTGCTGCAATCAACCTTAATCGATGCTAAAAGTCTGATTATAGCACAGGAGGATAAAATTTATAGACAGATCACAGCTAAGGAAAAAATGTCCCAGCCCCTTCCTCCATGCTGTTATTCAGGTCTGTCCCACATCCTGCAATTAAGCTTGAAAATAGAGGCTTTCAAAAATCTCATCAGGTTCCTGGATAGCTCAGTGAGTTGGAGTTTGATTTTCTGTTGGATTTCCAAGGAGAAGAACGAGGCTGTGTAGGCTTGGGCAATTCGCATAGTCCTGGAATTGACTTGACAACACATTACATGATGATGATGATGATTTTATTTTTAAAGGGTAATTACCGTATTTTTTCATTTATAAGATGACCCAGTGTATAAGATGACCTCCGGAGGTGGCAGTCAATGGGCAGCAGCCAGAGGCAGCTGAGCCAGGATGCTTCTTTACCTCAGTCTTTTCCTCCTGCTGCTGCCTTCTGTGTATAAAACAACCCTCAATTTTTCCTCTAATTATTATAGGAAAAAGTGTCATTTTAAACATGGAAAAATACGGCAATGCCTGCTCCGGCCCTAGGTATGGCTTCTATGTCCAGTTCTTTTGCCTACTCCAGCACTTTGTGAAAACAGTTATGCAGGTCTCACATTTACCTATATTAATTGTTTTCAGTTACTGTATTTTTTTAGTTACTGTATTTTTTGCAAATAGTGGGGGAGAAAGTATATGTATCTTATGGACCGAATACAGTAAAAAAAGGGGTTCAACCACACCACCCAGAAACCCCCCCAATGCTATGCTGGGAGGCCTCTGAATTAGCACTAGAGACCACTTGCTGTTTGGACCTCACCATTCTGCACTGCTGGCTTTCTAGGATCTGCTTCCTGGAGCCCACCTAAAAACCAGCAAGGCCCACAGGCACTGAAAAGAGCCAAGGACCAACGGAGAAGAAGTAATTCTAGAAAGACCATGGGAAACCACAAGCATAGTCCCTCACTTGGGCAGTTGATTTCCATACATTTGGGGAAATCACAGGAGTCAACACATCCAAAGTGCAATAGATGAGCCTCACCCAGGGAAAACCACTGTGATAATCATGGTGTCTCTCCTGCCAGGTATGAGTTGGAATAGCCTCTCCAACTCCTGCCCCTTTCTGTGCCCTGTCCCCCA